GAGCGGTATCTGAATTCTGGTGTAACAGTCAAACAGTCCACAAAGGGGCAAACAAAGCAAGCACATTGTAGACAACTCACCAAAACACAAACACAAAAACTATCTGCAGCAGTTTGCAAGTCCATGACCGCCCACAATGCCCAGCACCACAAAGGCACATACAGTAAAATATTAAAAATGAACAGAAGCCATAACACCTACCTTTAATGTGTTTGAACAGTAAAAACAACTCCCCATACACTGCAGTCCAGTACAACACCATCACCAGAGCGCTGGTGTTCTTAGGATGGCTGAGGCTGCAGTGGGCCTGAGAGCTCAGTGCACTGCAGAGAAAGAAAACACATTGAAACACACAAAACACAATGAAGAAAACACATTCATCAACATTACAACACTTGCACAAACCAAAGGCAAACACACGATGTAAATACAGACATGTGATTGATGTTACCAGGGGAACAATACAGAAAGCTTGTGCAGTGAACTTTCTGGTTTCACCATTTCCCTGCACGGCATTCGCTTTTCTTCCCTCACTGAGGAACAATATCATGTTCTACCTCTAGATGTCAGTAGAGACAAGCTGCAGCACGTCGCTGTCGCTGTGAGCAGTCCTATTCACTCAAATTGCCTGATTAATGCTCTCATGTGGTTCCAGAGATGGCTCCTCATTCTGTTCTCAGACATGTTCCACTGCACATCTGGCCCCAGCTCTAACGGTGGTTAATGGACTGCTACAGGCTGATATATGCTGAAGAACAAAGCAGTATTCCACAGACGTTCTCCTGTTGCGCCATGACCTCTGTGAAGCCATAGGAATGTGCTGGTAATCCAGCAAGTAAACAGAAACATCTTAGTCTATAGATGTGACCAGAGATGGGCAAACGCAGTCCAGCTTGACCCACTTTGGTCTGGGACAGGTCAGGATGCAGGTGCAGACTAATCCCAGGTGCTGGCATACTACAGCTCATTGCTGCTGCTGAACTCAGCCGCCCTCTGTGTCTGGTGGGGCAGAGATGTCCTAGTGTAAGCATGTCCTGTAGCAGTGCACATGTTCAAGCTGCACACCTCACAGGTGGCACAGTGCTATTTCAAAATGCAAACACAATTCAGGTGTGTTTTCAGGTGTCAGCCAGTAAATACATCTACTAAAAATATCACATACATTCTAAAAATACAGTAGATGATTTTTAAGAGACGATTGACACACCACAGCAAACACTGTATAACTTTAATTGTTATAGGTGATGCAGATGTTTGTACACGAATACTGTAAAATAACGTGTTTTTGTCTGTTCTGGACTTTTTTGATACATTTGATTATCTTAAAATTGATTGGTTTATACTTGAATACATTTGGGCTTGTGATTCTGAGTCATGTTTTCCATGTCAGACAAGCAAAGTAGCATTGCTAATAATGTCATTATCTGTAGTTACATTGCGTCAGAGTACTTTATTCTACAGGAGCTACTGCAGCCCATACCTACCATCCTGTCTTGTGTATATGTTGAACACCTAACTGGCCATGCAGGTCTATCAAAGTAGTCACTGCAACATTATAGCACCCCCTGAAAAACACTGAGCTTATATGGTGGGTGAATACCGTGCACGTGGTGTGACTGCTGACTGTGATGCATTGCAGGCAGAGCAACTGGAGGAGAAGAACCGACAGGCAGAGCAGAGGAGGAGGGAGCAGCTGAAGTTCGATCACTTCAGGTCAGCCCTGGATCAAGTTCACTTGGGTCTCATCACTGTCTCTGTGCGGTGTTGTCTTGCTGTTGCATGCTGTGTTGTTTTGCTCTTCAGTACATTTTAGTCTTTGATGTAGCCTCAGATGACACAATATCCAGACCTTGACAAAGGAAGTACCCAGTGTCTGATCCTCTGCTGACCTGTAATTGCCAGTAGAGTTTTACTGAGCTGCATTTTCTCTTGGCAGAAAAAGAAAAACAGTATATCAGTTGTAAATGTCTGGGAAAGCATGGAGACGGGCAACATGAGGTTCACCTCGGTTCGCCCCCATTTGCAGGCTTGTAAAACAAAGGATTTCCTGGAAAGACATCACTGAAGCGGTTTGTGCTCTGCCATAAATTTGGGTGGAGACAGTCAACATGGTCACAATGACGGTGCTAACATACCGATGGTCCGCAGGTATAAAGTCTACCATGTTCACTGTCTACAGTGTTAGGATGCTCACAGTACTAACTGGCACAAAATACAAAGCTGAAGTTGACTGGAATGTCATTAGGTTTGCACATAGTTGGTCAAAAACCAAAAGGAATCACAGGAGCTGCTACAGTTCCTCCTGAATTTCATAGCAGTCCATCAAGTTGTTGAGATATTTTAGACTGTCAAACCATGTTAAGCACTTTGGTCAGCTCTGGCTGTGTTAAATGTGCTATATAAATAAAGGTGATGATGATGATGATGATGATGTCACCTCCTTAACCCTGGATATGTCACCTGACATAGTTTCTCAGAGGTGTCCGGGCTCCTCGACAGCCACAGAGGACATATATAACTGCCTCTTTGAAACAGCCAGGGTGTCTAGTGCACAACACTGTCACACCACATTCTCTAACAGTGCATTGTGACTTTAAATCAATTTCCCTGACATTATTTAAACATACATGGGAAATCTGAGGGAAATTGTTTGTCAAGTAGAATCTCTGGCTTCCATACAAGTTAAACACAACAGGAGCTGGCAGACCAGTCTCTGAACCTGAAGAAACAATGAAGACATTAAATACAGGGCTGAGAAGATGAGATGCTTGTGAAGGGGAAGGGCAGCGTCAGAGAGGGACGAACAAATTTGATCAGTCTTTGGGACTGTCAGCTTCCCAAACTTGTGGTGTGTGTGAGTAAACAAATACTTCCTCGGTTCATGTGTTTCTGTGCTTCTCCTTTTTGAAGTGTGGAGCTACAGGACAGAGGATGTAATGTGTGTTTCTATCACAGGACAAATGAGGGTTTTCTGCAGAGGACTGAGAGGAGAGCCCCAGGCCCAGTGGCTTCCAGCAGTGCCACGCACACGTCATCCAGGGTGAGCCAGCGGTGTCAGTGTTATCATACATGTAGCAACCTGAACCGTGTTATTTGTCATTCATACTGCTGCATTATTGAATAAGCTACATATAAACTGAGTTTAAAACAAACACAGATGGACAGAACTTCTCCCCTTTGGCCCATGAATTGATCAGTGAAGCTGTAAGTTCACCTGTAGGTCTACGTTTCAGAGTGAGTTACTCGGTTAAAGATTCAATCTGGTCCAGAAGAAAAGTTTCATTAACACCATCTCTAACTAGGCTTTACATTACTCTAGCCCAGGAAACCAGTTCTTAGTGCTTCACTGTTCAGTTGTAGTTCAGTTTCAGGAAGCTCCAACTTCAGTCAACCTGGAGGGTTGGAGGTCGTCAGATCCAGAACATGAAATTCAGATTTCAGTCTCCACTCAATCATTTTCCAGCTTTGTATTTGTTTTCCCTCATCAGATTAAATGTTCAGAATTCATTTCCCCTCTCGACTGAAGTGCCAGGCTTCGATACTTGAATTGCAGGGCTGTTCAGGTGTGCATCAAGGTGCCCCGATCCAGCTCTTCTTCGATAGATTTTTTGTAACTTTTATCTTTTGCATAGGTGTAAACAAATTAAATGCACCACACTCATCAGTGTGCACCAGAATGTGTGTAGACATGGGACGTTTCAGAATGCACATGCTTCCTCAATGGCTCCTGGGGTTTTAATAATAATAATCACCTTTATTTGGCCAAGTATGTTCCACACACAAGGAAAGTGTTGCCAGTACAGAACCGAGGCAGCCGTCTGCGGCGCCAACTCACACCGATGGCAACTTGGGGGTTCAGAGTCTTGCCCAAGGACACTTTGACATGTAGACCACAGGCACCGAGATTCGAACCTTCGAACCTCCGGTTGGAAAACAACTGCTCTACCCACTGAATCACAGTCGCCCCACGTTCAGCGTTGAGTCTCATATCTGTGGCTGTCAGGGGCTGAAGCTCTGTGGTAACTCACACCGGTAGATCTGCCTTTGAGAGCTGTTTTCTGAGTAAATACTGCTGGGTGCAGCATATTCATTGTCCGGGGCTGCGCTGGTGTTAAACAGTATTCCCAGGCCTGATCAATCTGCACTTATCTCCTGGGCCACACAGCAGTGCAGGAGGCTCATGGCTGAGTAAAAGGAAGTGTAAATACACAGAGGAAACAACCACAGCCTTTTCCTCTTTGTCCTCTCCCTTGTCTTTTCATGTTGTCTGTCTTTCACCCTCCTTTGTCTTTTCTCAGCCTTTCTTCCTCTTTGATGGTTTGGTTTTGCATGGAGGGAGCGAGTGGAAGTGTAGCAGAGTTGAAGGGACTTCCCACAGTTTGCACTGAGCAGAGACATACTGTAGACACAACACAATTGTGAGAGTTCTGCAGAGTGGAGTGGAAGAACCTGTGCTGGTGAAAGTACCTGGAAGAAGCCCAAGCTCCTCAGTAGCCAGACACACGCCTTGTCAGTCAAAGGAGGCAGCGGTCTGCCCTCACTGTGAATAACTTTCCTCTTAATCAACACTGTTTTGTAGGTAGTTGTTGCCATAAATCTAAAAATCACTATGCCTTGAAAAGGTCACACCTATCGATATCTCTGTAAACATTTATTAAAGAGTGTCGACAGCATGTGTCGTAAAGTCAGACACAGTGCTAATAGTGTCTGTGCTCCTCCACCCAGACTGTCAGTGATGTTACACCAGAGGAAGAGAGAGAGCAGGAAACAGCCTGAGGACACACTGTGTTTCCCTTACTGTATTCTACTGTGAGAGTATTACTGTATGTGCTGACTGACAACACTTAAAACTGCTCTCACAGCTTCCTCAGGACAGAGGAAATGGTTTCATCTGGGGCTTTTCGCATTGTTCTGTGCTGCTTCTCTCTCACAGACCTGATGCAAGTCTTCCACCAGACAAGTCGGTGGTGAGAGAAAGAGAGAGAGAGAGAGAGACCTTGGGTCACATTATGCTGTTGGAAGAAACAGAACACAGTCAGTTACAGTAAGAAAGAAGTTTTATGGTGGGACACAGTAACACACAGACAGGATAAATGGATGATAGAGTTCACCCGATGATACCAGGGTTACAGACAGCAATACAGACTTGTGTCTTCCTGCCTTCCCACCTCATTACATCTTGCCTTGCTCTGTCTCCTCTTGTCTCCAGTGCTCACCTCTTCTGTCCTCTCATCTCATTTTCCCCTCCTCTCACCTCATCTCCTCTTCTATCTTCTGTCTCATCACTTTGTTTGTGCTCTTTCCTTTCCTTTATATTCCTTTCTTCCCTCTGAACATTTTTCCTCTCCTTTCCTTCCTCTCCTCTGCAGACTCTCCCAGGCTGCACCTCTCTCAGATAGACGTCACAGATTAGGAGATGAAAGCTTGTGGTTTCAGAGTAGCAAAAGTCAAACGTCTTGATGTGGTTCTGACCGGGATCTTGGAGTATGTTGTTCTTTCAGGAACGGCTCCATAAAACAGATTGATCTCTCCTTCATATCCTCCATTTGTGGGTGTGTGTGTGTGTGTGTGCTGTGTATACATGAGTGATGTGTGTGAGTGGGGGATTTTATGCTGAGCTTTGATGGGAGCATAGTGCAGCACCTCCATGACCCACCCACTCTCCTGGGACAGTGAGAATGGAGGGTATTGCAAGGTGAAGATGGATGAAAAACCTTTTCAGTGAGTGATACTGGAGTTGTCTCATCTCAGCTACAGACTGAACAACAACTCTGTAAATACAGGAAGCCTCAGAACTTGTTATTGCACAAGACAGGAAACAAACTCTGTGAACCTCTGCCTCCTTTGTCATCTAACGCTGCTGTTGCTGCTCACACACTTAACACATGCTCATGCTCAGGTGATCGTCTCAGCCAGCCAGTGATTTTCTACCTGTTTGCCTTGTGAAGCTCTTTGGTTGCAGAATGATGAGATGTGAGCCGCTGAGCTTGCATCTGTGCATTCATGCTGTTGCTTCCATCAGCAGTGAGATCAAATGCCAGTGTGCCGCCTTTTCTGGCAGCCATACGTACGTAAACCATAACAGAACCAGCACCATGTTTGACAACTGAGCTGTCAGTTGGGTCCCCTCCCGTCATTTTGCCTGTTTGACAACTGAGCTACAGTTGGGTCCCCTCCCGTCATTTTGCCTACATCCTTAGGAGCATTCTGGACTTGCTATGCGGTCGTAAAGGGGGTTTTCTCGCCGTCCACATGACTTCTTGGTCATCTGCCACTTCGTGTTTCCTGTGCACACCTGCTTATTAGAATGCACCCAGTTGGTGGTTTTGGCAAACCAGCTGACTTTGAGATTATTTTTAGATCAAAGACTCATCTTCTTCACTTTCATGGCCACCTTTTTACTCCTTGTGTTGTCAGACAGCTCCACCTCAGTCTCAATCAGCTCTGAACCATGTGTGAGCTTTTATGATAGACAGACCTTTACTGTCAGTGTTACAACAAAACATGTAGCAACTCCCCTGAAATCAATGAACTACAATAGCTTTTTTTTTTAAATTACAAGTACATTTGAAAATACAGATTTTATATTAAAATGATCAGTAGAACTCATTCAACCCAGAGACTTCTGATCACCTCCCCCATAGTCCACCAGCTACTTTGTGCAGGAAACCATGAAATAACACACGGTGTCCCATTACTTGTGAACTCTGGCAGTTTGGACAACATCTGTTAACTCCCACACAGCTCTGCTCTACATGTTCTGCATGTCCTTTTGCCACTTTGTCATCATACTCTGCATGTATATGCTTTTGCTGTGTGTAATATTTTAGTTTCCACTCTCAGATTAAATTAGAGACTGTATCATATTGAAGGTATCATCTGCAAATACCAGAAATCCATTGGTGGCCTCAAAGCTGCCTTGTTGATTTTTAAATGAACACAACAGAAATTATGTTTACAACCAGTGTTTCTGATGAAAACACATTGCCAACAAGAATCTATGTGAACAGTGCAAACTATGGAGTTGTGTGGAGTTGTTGTACAGCTGAACTGAAATTTGTTAGTAACCACTGTCAGTGTCAGTCATGTTAATGGATCAAGACAGTCAAAGTAAAGTCTATGTTTCCGTATCTACTGATCTGTAGACTGCACTTTCCATTTGAACTATGGTAAAGCTCTTTAATATGTATTTACAGGCCTCTACAGTTAATACTGATAAGATAGTATTTAAGCTCTTTTTCACTTCCCAAGAACAGACTGCTTTGTAAGCTACTGTGGCCTTCCACTTTGCGTGACCATACTCTGGTTTGTGTAATCTTCTCTACTTATCAGAGTGAGGCTGTGGAGAGTAAACAGGAGAGAAGTGTGAGAGATGTTGAGCTGGAGCGCCAGAGGTATGGATATTTATGTTACAGATTTCACAGTTTTATTTTAGATTTACCAGGTTCTGTTTCAGACTTTGTAATATAACAGCACATTTTTGTTAAAAAAGTGCACAAATACAACCGAGTGGAAATGAAGGAATGTTTGTGCTAAATAGAAACTGCACAGGCACACAGACTCAGCAAGATCAACTATTTGTTTTGTTCACCCTGAGCCTGGGTTTGTGAATGTTAAGTGGCTATGAGCATTTTCTGGACCGCACTATATTTCATTGGGTGTGGAAGTTTAAAAGAGCTGTCAAACACATCCCGCTCGCTGCCATTTGGAGCCTGCCAGCATGTACAGCTACAAACCGCAGTATTAGAACCTTTTTTTTTTGATTCACTGTACTTTGACAGGGTGAACTCAGCCTTTCTGGACAAACTCGAGGGTCGAGGCAGAGGAATGGAGACAGAGGCATTGAGGGAAGCTGTTTGGGAAGCAGAGGGTCCCTGTGTCCCTGCTAAAGACAGAGGCATTGAGGGAAGCTGTAGCAGAGGGTCCCTGTGTCCCTGCTAAAGGTTTTAGACAGCAGCCATCTACAACAACTGGACAACATCTCGCCCTCGCTCACCTGAAACTAGATCCAGATCACAGCTGGACAGAGGAAGCCGGTGAGCTGAGAACAGATGTGTGCTTATCCCTCTGTCTGCTCTTTCTCACGCCTTTTCTTTTGAGTCTGGCTTAACGTTGGTTAACCAAACCTAAATCAGAGATGTGACAGGAGGTGCCCACCTCATCCTTTCTGAGAGGACTGTGATTGTCTGTTTAGTCTGCGCTAAATCAAAGGCTTACATGCTTTAAAATGTAGGCAGAGAGTTATGTGTGGTACGCAGTGATGCTGTAGTTCCTGGCACTACGATCCTGCTGATACTTGTAGCGTGTAGGAAATGTGTGCGTCTATACAGTAAGTGTGAGTAACAACGTATTTTCCCAGTTTATGGACACAAGCCTTTACTTACTATTTACTGGGCAAGATATCAAACACATCTGAGCATGTGAGTCTGCAGACAGGACATGAAAGCCACCAACACACACCGAGGCCAACAGTCATGCCCTTCTGTAGTTGGCCTGGACTGACTCACTGAGTGGGACACCTGACGGGGTGCACACACCTCAGATATATCTGCCACTCACAACACAAGAAAAACAAACACATGTGCATTACTTACTACTGCTCCACGTGTGCAGGCTAGACTGTCTGTCTGTTATTTAATCAATAAATCGATTAGAAAGTAGTGACAAATGTTTGGATCTATAATTTCTCCGAGTGCAGTGTTTTATCTGAAAGTCAGAAAAGCTTGAAATCCTGATGCTGTGGTAGTTTTGTTAGAAAGTCACAAACAATTACTTGATTATCAGAATAGTTGCCTAGCTTCCTATCAATCCACTAATTGATTGATTGTTTCAGCTCCATGACCATATGAAGCGGATTTTCTCTTCCTTGTTGGTGTTAATATAAAATCCTGTGGTTCCTCATCAGGCACATTTAATCAGTCCTGGCCAGTCTCCCATTCAGGTTTTAGTCCCTCATGTTACTATACATGCAAATGAGTCCAGTCACATTGAGGGATGAACAGTTTGAAAAGAGAGCGCTCGGATTTGATCCGCACCAATTGAAGCTGAGAACGACCATGCTTGCAATATTTTTGTTTTACTCTATTATGTCCAAGTCATGAGTTAAATATTTTAAGATAAAGCTAATGTTCACATTTTCTTGTGATAAGGGGTTAATTCATCTAATTATCTTGAGAAAATAAAAGGCCAATATCTTGAGATCATGAGATAATTTATCATGAGAAAACGACTTTTGCTTACTGCGGTAAAGCCAGCGATCATTCATGTCTGTGGTCAAAGCAGCCACCTGTGAAACTGAAGTGCACTTGTGTACCAACCTTTACACTAACTGTTTGGAAATCAGTTGGTTTAGAGCTTGTAACCTGACTCCATCCATCCATTATTTATACCACCTACTCCTGAATAGGGTCACAGGGGGCTGGAGCCTATCCCATCTGACATTGGGCAAGAAGCAGGGTCCATCCTGGACATGTCGCCAGTCTGTCACAGGGCTACATGAAGACAAACAACCACACACACTCACTCCTACAGACAATTTAGAGTCACCAGTCAACCTAAGCTGCATGTGTTTGGACTGTGGGATGAAGTCAGAGTACCTGGAGAGAACCCACGCAGGGAGAACATGCAGACTCCGCACAGAAAGGCCCTGGGTCGGCCGGGGCTTGAACCCAGAAACGTCTTGCTGTGAGGTGACAGGGCCAACCACCCCTGACTCCCCTGTAACAGAAAAATATAGTCCCTGCCAGGAATTACGAACTAAAGTTGTTTTTATCTGCCCTAAGAGTTTCAAACTGAAGCCATTTCCAGACACAAATGTCCAAGATTACACATTAAGTATGCTTGTGTTTCTTTACTCCACAAACAAAAATCAGTTTTTGACCATATAAAGACTGTCATAAATAATACATGAGATGCTGTGGTGATTTTTTTCACACTTCCAGCATGCTGTAAACTATCCCCAAATATAAAGCCTTTATTTTCTTTTTTCTTGAGATAAATGAACCCGTCATCATGAGAAATGAGCTTTGTTATCTCGAGATGACAACATAAAAACACAACTGGAAGCATGGTCATTCTTGGCTTCCATACCAACTGGCATTGAGGTATCAGAACTGGTGAGTGGAGACAAAAGCTGAGGTTACGAGCATCCTCTGGCTTTTGTGCACAATTCTGCATGTCCAGATCCTACATCCTATATCAACATTAAGGTGTGTTGAACGTGTCATCCTGTTCTCTTGCTGCCTGCTTGGATTGGTGATGGCCAGGCTTCTCTATCCCTATGGCTTCGCAGAGCTACATTTGTGATTTCTTGTTCCTAGAACTGCACCAGTTTGTCACAGGGGGAACCAGTGGGAGTCTGATGTGAGATTTCTTTCTTTCCTGTGTTTCCCAGACTTAAAGCCTGACTGTGACTGGGCCCTGATGAGGCTGATGAGCAGCTTTCCAGACTACAACAAAGTCTTTCTAGAAGACATCCTTAACCAGTGCAATGGCGATTTTGAGCAGGCCTACACACTGCTCTGCTGCAGCTAAATTTGATCTATGTTTAATGGTGGACTGGTGTTTGACAGTTTAGGAGTCTGGCCAAAAGAAATTGTATAATTGCTGTTCAGGTGTTAAAGAATAGTTACATGCTGTTGTTAGGTATTTTTAGTCAGATAGAAATTGGATAGATACTTTATGTATTAGAAATGTTTAGTGGAGATAGGATGTCTAGTTAGACTGTTAAATGCTTAGGCATGCTTATGAGTTTCTACAGGATACATCTGGTCAAGGATAACTAGAGAGAAGAGTTGATGACTGTCAGCAGACAGGGTGTTTAATATTATTATTATGACGTGTATAACTGTAGCCTTAGCCATAATATGTTCTTATGTTTAAGTCACGACATGTTCTAGAGGTCGTGAGAATGTTTTTAGCTACACACTACTTAACCAACAGACACACACATTCACACATTGATTTGCTTCATGTTTTGACTACTGCTATGGCCAGCTGCAAAGCTGGTAACAGAGACGTCTCGGTTGACGTTTCTGTGTAGTATGGGGCTAGCCCAACCGAGGGGATATAATGTATAGGCCTGGTGGGTTCAGGGTTTTTCATCTTACATCTGCCTGCGTGCAGTTTGGAGGTGCAAGATATCTGAGCGTGTAATGTTAATTTTACCTGTTATCCTTTGAATAAATCAGCACTGTTTTGAAGTTACTTGGACTGTCTCGTCTCTCAGAGTTAGCAATGGTAAAAAGTACCGGGTACAACAGCTGTAGTGGTGGATAGCTGCATTAAATGGGCATCTACAGAGCTGTGTGTGCTTCTCATAGTCTGGTTTTGATTATGCTACTAAACTCTTGAGTGTTGGGTGTCTTGTCTCTGCATGCACTAGTGAGTCATGTCGGGTTTTTGCCCCATGGAGCTGAACCGATGTTCGTTTTGTCAAAGGTCATTGCCAAGAATCACAATCTTCAGCTCATATTTAATTAAATAAGTGTGTGCAGATGGAAGAAAGCTCTGCCCACATACATGATGCCTTTTGTTTATTTTATAATCAGTCGCATGTGAAGTATCTATAGCAGGATTCTTCAGGACAACAGCGCATGCAAATCCAAATAGGACTTTATGTAGAAAGGCTTTTTATTTTTGGATTCAGTTCAAAGTCAAACTAACTTAACAATAAGACATATTTTTAAAAACTCTCTCTCTTTAGGTTTATGTGTGGGTGGAGTTTCCAGGTGGGCTGCTGGAGCTGTAAATGCTAACCTCAACATTTGCTGAGCTGGATAGCAGAGATGGTTATCACCTGGCCGAGGCAACAAGAACAAACGGCGGTGCTCTCAGCATGGGGGACTAAAGAAATCCCCTTCATGACTTTGGCATGAAGTCCTGCGACCAAATAGCTCTGTTGAAATCCAAACATTCAGTAGGAGAATAGGATCTAGGAGAATCTACTTATTCCCTCTTTTTACTGGGTTGATGCCACTACCATGTCTGCATGTTACTCTGAACATGTCGACCCAATTAGTCATCTTTATAACTGTGCTGTGTACTCATGTCATGTCACTTTACATACAGATACATGTGGTACCTGCATTTGTACATGCACACCTTTCATTGTGGCTTTGCTTTTATTCTGCTAGAGAGATTTAAAGCTACATTAACTTCTCCCTTCGCTCCTCTTTGCCCCTCCTGCCCTGTCTCTGAAACTACGTCATATGTGACTGCCAGTCAGCACAGCAGTAATAACCAGCTCCATAACTAATATATACGGAAGCCTGTGGTTTTTGGTGGCACTGCAGCAACACAATGTCAAATAAAGGGGTCTGGATTTTAGCGATATCCATACATATGTCTAACATTGTTTACAGTGAATGTATCTGCAGTAACACAAGCAAATTATATGTTTTTCCCAGTAATACTGATGCAGTACTAATGTTCCACCCATTATAACATCTGTTCAATGTTACATACTTGACACACATAAACATGAGCTGCATGTGAAATGAGAAATTTCAGGTTATCTTTGATAGTTGAACAAACTCTCCACCTTTCTAGTTGTGTTGGTGGTGTACATTTTAACAGCTTACTGAAATGCTACATGGACTGCCGTGTTATGTCAGATGCAAACTGGACCAAAACAGAGCAACAACTAGCTAAATTACTTCATTTGTTAATCCAGAAAAACATGCTGGTTTCCACTGATCGGACAACAAAACACTAACATTGCAGTCAGTAGGAACGACTCCAAATTTCAACCAGAATAATTCAGTGCAAAGGTACAAAATTGAACCGCTAACGCTATCTGCTAATGAAGCAGAATCTGTGCTTAATCTTAGTTAATGCAGCTTTAAGTATACTGCATGTGGTTTTCTATCTGCTTCTTGTCTTGTGTTTCAGTTAGTGTCTAAGTATAATTCTAGTCTCATTTAGTCCATATTAACATTTATACATTATATATATTATTTTGTGCTTCTTTGTTGCATGTTTTAATAGCATCCTGTTTGATGGTTTTTATTAATACTGATATCCTCTTCTCCTTTGATTATTGTGCTTCATGCTTATAAATCTTTATGAATCTCATTTTCGTTTAAAATTTTGTATTCCCATATTCTGTTGTTAGGATGACTTTTATAACATCTGTCCTGGGACTACAGATGAAAACTGTCCTCTTGCATTTACAGCAATGACTATTAATGTGCATTGTCCCTTTTAAAGACACAAATGATGAGTGTGTTAAATAGTGAGCATTAGAGGTGTTGTAGACATAAGCAGGCCACTGTTTCCCCCTAAGCTAAGCTACTTGCTTCCTGGTCCATATTTCCCAAAGGGTCAGACTATTCCTTTAACACAAATAAATGCAATAAGTGTAATACTGTGTCTTTTAAAAGATTCAGCCCTATGCAAACTGTGACACTATATGCTGTTTAACATGGTGACATTTTGAAAATGTCAAAAAGTTCTGATTAATGTGATGTAGGTATTTGTGGTCTGACATTGTTCGAGGCCCAGATTTATTTGGGTTACTAAAACTAAATTTTGGACTAAACTAGGACAAAGGTGGAGGCTATGTGGGCTCTATCAAGTAAACAGGAAAATCCTGGAGATGAACAGACTGTGTCTGTGTGTGGGTGGAGGATGCTGCGAGGTGGGGACACACTACTGCTCTGTCGCCTAATCAATACAGCTCAGTGCATGTCTGTGAGCTGATGAGACACTGGTGTGGGATGGTATCATATGATGTCTCCCCAGGCTGAGTGGATCTCTTACAGGACAGTTCAGTCAGTTCAGATGGAAACAGCTCTGGGACCCAGTGCAGCAGATCTGTTCCAAGAAGTAGGTTTATTCAGAAAATCCCCTCAAATGTGGACTGATGTTGAAAGAATTGTTTTCCTTAGCAAAGTATACCACATAACTCAGTCAACTTACTTCCTGGAAAAAGCCTTGAACTCATCTGTGTGCGTGTGCTGCAGGCTTGTGCAGGTTATGATACTGTAAATACAGTAGTATTTATGAGAAGAAAATTGGGCAGTCACTTTCTTCTGTGTGTGTGTGTGCGCATTAGTCATTTGTTCAGACATCTGAAAACAACTATGTTCAGTGCCAAGGCAGAAGGGAGAGGGCTGCCGTGGCTGGATGGACAACAAAGTGTCCATCAACTTCACCTCCAAAGATGCAGCGTGTTGGTTCACATACATCACAGGTAGCCCAGCATCAGACCACAGAATAAATTAAGGAAATTTTACTCAGCTGTTCTGTTGTTGAGCTCAGTAAAACCAGTGGGCATCAAGCAAATGTTAACTACAGATGGTAACAAATTCAAAGAAAAACCCTGACTAACTGAGCAGTCTCCTCCAGGGTGATGGTGCCACCGTCCACAGGACATGAGGGGTCCCTGACTGGTCTGATGAGGATGACCATGATGTGAATCAGATGCTGTGGCCTTCCCAGGCACCAGGTCTCAGCCCAGGTGAACAGCTATGGGAGATGTTGGACAGCGTCTCCACCACTATCGTCAAAACACCACATGGGGGAACATCTGTTGGAAGAACGATGTTCATCCCTGTGGCACAGTTCCACCAGAACCACAGTGTGGTGGCCCAACATCTTAATGACGCACTTTATGTTGGCCAGCATTTCATTTGTCACCCATCTTTATGCTTCAGCACAGAGCCAAAGAGCTGGTCTCTGTTCCACTAGCTTCTGTACATCAGGTGTTCTGGGTCTGCCCCGGGGTCTCCTACCAGATGGACGTGCCTCGGAATAAGGTGCCTGAACCACCTCAGCTGGCTGCTTTTGATGTGAATCCATTACTTTAGAGCCATCATACATTTATCCTTCATAAATGTTTCTTGATTAGTGAACAGATTGAAGGTGCTAAGAAGACGGTGAGACATAACAAACCAAGCCAAGTGTTATGCTATCATTCTGCATTTTTTTTCCTTGTTGGGTGTGTGTTTTTACTCCTGTTTGACTGAACCCACACATCTTTTGTCATCAGCCTGTGTGAGCACATCCATTCACTAACCTTGTGTTTGTGCCACATGTTGGTCCTGCCAGGATTTGACCCTGCATTTCCGTGTTTTTGCTCAATGTTCTCACTCAGTGTTCTCCACTCAGGTACTTCCCTGCTCGACTGTTTTCACCGCTGACTAATCCAGGCAACCAGAAATAGATCAGACTGAAGGAGAAATTTGCAGAAAATTAATAAAGCAAAACAGTGCAAAAGGTCAGAAAATAAGAGTCAGAGTCATGCTTTTAATTTTACTCCTAGAGTCAAAGCAAGAAGCAAAACATTTAGAAGCTGTTGTGCAACTGAGCACATTAAGTGAAAATGATATGACACTCTTTTTGGGATTTTGACGCTGTAACAGGAAATAACAACACATGTGGGGAAATGCCATGTCAGGAACCATCAACCTTACACAAAAGCAGCTATATTCAGAATTTCTATAACAATCAAATTATAATGTGAAAACAAAACAGTGGGATCACTCGTGATAAACCTGCAGAGAATCAGCGAGTTTCAGCTCAATGTTTGTCTGTACAGTCGACAGGTCACTCTCACCACTCTCAAAGTGTTGTTTTCAGTTTTAAAAATGCACTGTGCACAACCTGCTCAGCACAAAGAGCAGACGGACACGGACACTAGCTCCAAACCAGCCCCTGGAAATCACTTGTAAGTATTAACAAAATGAATTTGTGTAACATGGTCAAAA